CCTGAAAAAATGAGAGCTGTAGCTTCTCAGATCATCGAGATACGAAGCATAACGAGTTTATTCATTACGTGTGATCAGGTGATTGGCTTACCTGATCACGTGATTAGGTAACCCCGTTAACCACCCCGTTAAACATTATGGGAATCGTTAAGGCTGCCCAATTAAGGTGTCTTGTCACGGTGTCACATAATCACCCAGTCAATTTTGTTAACGAGATACACAAAATGCTTGATAACTTCGTCATTTCAAATCCGTTTCACATCATTTTTTCAGATCAGATGCAACATTTAATAATCTACCGTCTCTGAAAAAATTAGACATCTAGCATGTTCAGGGAGAACGATATAAGTGTTTTAATATTGAATGGGCGTGGTCTAAAATATTCGAATTTTCAAATTTTGGTGACGGAATCCTCGAACCAGTAGGTACAGTAAACCATCTGCAAAGCAACAACCCTCAAATATAAAACACGGCGGAGGTATAAGACCCAACGTTTGCACACTGACTTTTGGCCCACCCTGTATTTTAACTGTCGACGGAATTTACTATAGGTTAAGTATAGATCAGAGTCTCCAAGAGGGTTGGGTTCCTTAATTGTACTCTTCCACTGCTTGTAAAGATATTCTTTCTTTTTCACTGATGCAATGATCCCTGGTGTGATCCAAGGGTTTGCAATCATATTTCTTTTTGACTTTTTGAACGATTCAGATTCAATTAAAAAGTTTTCTTCGATCAAAAGTTTTATCTTATTTGCAAAAATTTCAAAGTTTTCTACGTTGTAGCACACCTGCCCACAAAAATTTGTTTGAATATCTTCTAAGAACTTGGTCATATTAGATTCACAGTAGTCGTATTTTGGTTTACAAGGGTCAAGTTCTGGTTCTTCAGGCATGCTACATTCGAGAATACAGAAAATTGGAGAGTGATGCGAAACCCTGGTATCCAGTAGTCCAGCTGACACAATATTGTCAGTGGAGTTTGTCAGAATATTGTCAATAAGCGATGGGACACAGCCTGGTTTATGGTGCGTTGCCAGTGATATAAGTGGGATGAAGTTATTTCCATATAAAATGTTTTCAAAGCTGGCAGAGCCTTTATTAAATAGATTAAAGTTGAAATCTCCAAGCAGGATAACGTTCCTATCAGGAACCTGATTAAGAAGGCTCTCAAATTCGTGTAGGGCATCTTTGTCAGATCCACCAGGTGGTCTGTATAGGACGCCAACTGTTTGGGGCCTGCCAACATTTGTTATGGAGACAAACACTGATTCAAGGTTAGGGGTACACATACATAGTTTGTCAATACAGGTGTAAGTAAGTGACTCATTGATGTAAATTCCCACTCCACTACCTTTAGATTTGTCACGTAATTTATTGGTGTATTCAGAGAGATAACCGGGTATCCTATACAGGTCTTTGAGGTTTGCATCAATATTTGTCTCAGCCAAGCCAATAAACGAGAGCGGATGACTGTACTGACTACTGTGAGATTTCTGTGACAAATGTATCAAAATTTGCAGCATTTCCATCAATATTGTTAAAAATACCAGTAAGGTTCTGCCCATTTCTATTTTCTATGATACAGCTTTATGAGGTTCTTAAAGCTTTTATGATCATAATTTTTACAGCTTTTATGGATTTCATTGATTTCAGAAACATCTTCAATTTCATCAAGGTGGACTGGGTCATGTTTGTCACGTATAAGTGCAGAAGCAAATGGGCAGTACCGTTGTGGTAAGCTGGCGATGCAGATGTAGCATTGCCAGCTATCATTGGTGTGGCTGTATTGGAAGAGATTTTTGGCACATTTAGAGTGAGTAACTGTTCCACAGGAGCTACAGTTCAAAATTTTGTGGTGTGTTGAGATAAATTTATTGCATCCCTTGCAAACATAATAATAATTGTCAAATGACGTTATATATTATATAACAGTTATAAATGTTCAATAGTTGTAGAGCGATTTCAAGAGTAGTGGTCCACAGGGGTCCGAAAAAGCCGTACAGGCACTTGGGTCCTTATCCTTGTCACTAATCTCAATTGGATTCGGTTTACACAAAACATGAACATTTAGACGTACACATTGACACGATATTTATTAGAAAGCAAAAAGTATAAAATAATACGTGCGTGCGCGGCTTGAGCCGCGCCGCATAAGAACAGATGCGTGCAGGGGCTGGAGTATGCTTGTATGTAGATTAATGAAATGTTGCATTGTAAATATTGAGAATTGACGATATATAATGATCTAATAGTCAATTTTACAAAGCTGGCTTTGGATTTAGGTAAGATTATAAATTGTAATTTATTTTAAAAAAACCACGGATAGTTTTAAATTTATTTCTATTTGTCGTATAATCATGAACAATTTAATCCTGTTTTCAAGAATGCGCGGCTTTGGCGGCCAGTTATTGACTTATACATAAAATTGAATTTTAAATAGAAATGTTAATATATTAAAATTTAAAACTTTCAAAACGGAGGCTTATAAATATTATTATATTATGATTGTAAAATAAAGGATAAAATTTTAAATTTGTTTCACTAAAAATTTGTTTCATTATAATTTCTATAAAAATTCTATAAAACTCCAAATATACAAACAATCTGAAAACTCCAATATACAATGAAGAATGATTGAAAAAGTTGACTGCATAACAGTACCTGATGATAAAAATTATTTATGAAAATATAATAGTACAGTCATACCAAACAATCTTGGCAACATACAAGTACATGCATGCCCACAGTTCAATGTTTTAAACCACCATACCAATATACCTGTTATCTTGTGTCATAACTTAGTCTCATAACTATACCATACTTCATACTCATTAACTTATTATTTATATACTATAATATGTTTTGATTCTTAGTCCTTAGAAGGGCACTCTATTAACAGTTTTTGCCTGATTTGAATGTCCTGCACAGGCCACAACAGATCAAAACTTATTTAAATTATTTACAATTTTTATTGTATTGCTGTGTAAATTTGATTCTAATCTTACATATATTATATATAAAGCGAGACGATATATGTTTATCCGTACCATTTTACTGACACCATGGTATCAGCTTTAACGCGACTTCCCGCTAAAAACCATTCAAGATATACGACTGAAACCTTTTTGACTGGGTCAAATGCTTTCATGGCCTCCAAATCAGCACGTGGTGTCAAAAACGCATATTAAATAGGTAATAATTATTTGAGTCTCTTGAGTCCTGACACCATTTCAGAGTTATACGGGTTCCTGCTAGTTCTAATAATTCTAATAATCGAAATGAGTTTATAACAAGGTCGATCTTTTGGTAAATTTCTAGCTTTCTGCCAGAAAATAAATCTGGGTTTTCTAATAAATATAGTACACTTACACTCACATTCACAAGCATGCAAGCTCACCTTGTCCAATGAGGGAAATGGAGAACAAGCTCTGTTGCATCATAGTCATGTGACCTCAGGCTCATAATCACATGAACTCAGCTCAGACCCAATCAACTGGGTTCTGGCCTGGTCAGCACACTGTTACCTGATCTTGAGGTGACGTACAAGGTGTTGTTTTCTTGAATTTTTTGTTTTCTTGTTAGTTGTTTACCCAATCAATGTCTGGAAGGCTGCAAATTTTCGCATGCCCAGCACCAATTTTTCATAAGGAGTTGTGCGATGTGACAATACATAGAGGCCGCAGAATTATGAGGACTACCAGATCCTAGTGGAATCTTAGTAATCCATGATATCACGACAGGCCCTACAGAATAGATCACTCAATACCTCTCAAAAAATTAAACACATACAGGATCGGAGGAAGAACACACAAACTCCTGGAAAGTTATCCTTCCAACCTCATAAAAACATCTCAATGAAACATCTGATACTATACAGTATATCCAGGTGCTCTTTGGAGTGCCACTGTTCTAAATCTAAATAGACGACCTTAAAAACTATAATTTGTTCTATTTGCTGATGACGTATGCATACAAAAAAGCCAATGAAGTTCTAAGTTCAGTGTATCGCTACATGCTTGCTAATAAACTTCACATAAACACTGGCAAGAGCTGTTACCTTGAATTCTCAAACTCTCGATCCAACAAAGATGAACATACACCTTCTGGTCAAAAACTCAATATCAATACTAAATAGAGTCATCAATCCAAGAAAAGAGTTCTCATCAATCGTCCAATCTCTTGTAGTGAGCTGGCCATCATCTAGTAGAGAGTCTATGACTAGTGTAGAAACTCAAAGAGACACAGTAATCTCGATTCTTTGGTAGGTCTTCTTCAGTAGTGTACTAGCACTCAATAACAATGGCATACCTTTGGAGAGAGTACATGAAACTAAATTCTTAATATGTAGTAACCATCGATGAAGGCCTAAATTAGCTCAAATGTTTGCCGCTTTTAAAAACAATTTTGAAGAGAATGAAACAAAAATGTGAATAAAAGAAAAATTCTATTTTATACCCACAATCAATTTATGTTTAGTTCAAGTACTTATAGTCAAAATAACCATTTCACAGAAGTGGTTTTATTATATAATAAAACCATTTGTAATATTAGTGTAAAAGTGATAAATTAATTTACACTAACAAATGTACAAATTATGAATACACAATTTTTACTCTGCAACACTGGTTCGGCGAAACAGCAAAAGAGAGGCTGGACCTAGTGGCCCACAAGAGGATAACATGAAGGTGCTTTGCCTGCCACTGCATGTAGCATCCCTGGTGGATGCCGGGGTTAAACATGTGGATGTGTTGAGGTACAAAATATAACAAAAAATAGATATTAGATTTTTTAAAAAACTATCAAGAGATTATAATTTTTATTACATTATTTGATCGTAAATAAAGGATGGAATTTAAAACTTTCACTAAAACTTGTTTTATACTTGTTTTATAACAGCAGCAACCTATTTAACACTTGTGGAAGACTTTAGGCGGTCAAACGAGAAACAAAATGCTTTTCTATTTTATTATTATTTTATTATAATAATTTGTAATTGTAATTATTTCTTAGATGGACGTTCATGCAATTGTTACACGTCTCAGAGATCTTTCAAGAGACCCACAAAACAGATCAGCAATCGCAAAAGATGAGGCCTCTTTGTCAGGTAATTCCTTTAAATTGAAACTAAAAAAGAAATTTTAGTTTCAATTCGAAAAATTTAATTGGTTAACCTCAAACGAGTCAAATAAAAAAATTGCTACACCAGATATCTAGATAGTTGTCCAAGGAATCACTGTACCAAATCTCAATATCAGGGGGTGGCTGCTTTTCTCAACTAAGGAATTGAAAGCAACAAAAGTGTGTTTTCAGATAGATGCAATTTAGTGTTTTCAACATTTTGAATATTCACTGGAATGTATCACAATTCGTTAGTTAGGACTTTGTATACACTTAATAATGTTCAATGCTTGATTAGACCTGGCCATTCCCTAAAATGATAACACTGGGATTGGTTTATCAATATGTTATTATATATGTAGTAAAACATTTGCAAAGTGTAACGATTAAGTCAGAGTACTAAAAAGGGTAGAGTAGGCAGACACCAGTCGAACTTGCTTAGGACTATTAAATTTGATTTAGGTAGTAGGAACATTCCATTTGTAAATACAGACGATTTGTACAATTTAAGACTTTTAGCCTCTGATAGAGCGGGATGGAAGAAATTGTTATAGCTTGTGTATCAGTATTTCTTTTTTTCTGGGCTCTGGCTACTTATCAGATCTTTAAGATGTTCATTTATGTTCTATTTTCGATTTGAATAAATTTATATAATATAATATAATAACGATTAAGTGTTTGAGGTTTACATGTAATTGACTAGTCAGATATTCAAAAAATGAGAGGTTAATGTCATTTTTTAGCCATTTACAGGTAAAATCTATCTACTTAAATATGGTCAGTTCAAATCACTTTTGTCACGTGAAGTTGTAGGCATTGTGATACCAATAGATACCTCACTGCAATATTGTGGTACATTAAAAAAGTAAGAAATGTATGTATATTCTTACGGAACCAAAATGTGATGGTTAACCTCATTTTTTTCATTTTCCCAAGATAAAAGAAAGACAACCAACACGTCATCTATTTAGAAATGTGTATACCGTAAACTTACGATGAAAATAATAACTCCATCATTTGATATATTCTCGCTATATCTAAAAAAGAGATTAACCTCATTAAATCACGTTTAGATATTACTTTTTCTGACAATTGTGATCCTAAAATTTAGAGTTTACATTTGCTGACCGAAGTAACAAAAAATATGAAGTGTAATAAAATATCAACCTCAATTTTATTAACCTCATTGTTGTAGTCAATTTTGTGAAAATCGGTTAACCTCAATTATTTTTTTTTAAATTAAATTGATTTAGAAAATAGTATTTTGGTCGATTTTTTGGACCCCTTACCCCCTCTGGCCTTCAAGGTTGTTAAATACGTCAAATTTTCGTGAAAGAATACGACGTATTCGGTTCTAATAAAGAATACGTCGTAATACGCCGTAATACGGTAATTTCTATGGATTGTTAAATACGTCCACGAATACGCCATAATACGCTGTAATACGCTGATTTGACAAAATTAAACATTACAGCTGCGCGCCACCCTCATCATTGATCATGCATTAAAGGAGTGCAGTTATACATGATAACTTAAATTTGTAATCAAATTTCATGGTTAATCCGATAAGCAAACAATTTTTTGCGTGCACGACACACTTTTTCGTAATACGTCAATTTTCGAGGATTAATACGTATTCGTATTCCAATACGTATTCCCTCCTAATACGTATTTAACAACTTTGCTGGCCTTAAAGGGTTGTGTGTGGGCAGTTACTTCTGGGCCACCCTGTAAAGACAGCCCAAACGTTTTGTGCACTGACTTTAGGGCATCTTGTATTATGATGTATTTTCATTTCAGGACTTGTACTTTGTCTAAGCAATGAAGACCCTAATATCGTCCTGATATCCTTGGAGGCCTTGAAGTTCCTGGCCATGTATACATCCAATAGACCTGTCATGAAGAATCACATGGGGATGATACAAAGTTTACAGGTAAAACGTAATTCAATACTCGATAGATAGGCTGCTTACTGGTTTACAGAATATTTACCAACATGGAAATTGTGCTGTTCACTTCGTCTTACTTTTATTGTCATTGAACTCCAAGGGTTAAAGCCAAGTATTTAAATGCTACAGCTTATTAAAAATCAATCATCAAGAAATCAACATTATTTCTATTAAGTTGCATAGGTAGTAAAATGATTGGGAAATCTAGGTTAGTGGTTGATTGGTAAACAATAGCGGAGTATTTTTAATTTGCAATTGATAAATATATATATTTCAGACCTTATCTGCCAACGAAAACGCAGAAGTAGTGCGCACAGCAGAAGAAATCCACAGTAGTCTAGTCCCGTCCCGAGCTGCCCAGCGCACCAAAAACGTTAACTCTCCTGTGTGAGTTTTTAATGATGTGATTACTTGATTACTTCTCTACTAAAAGTTGAATCAGATAAAGCATGCTTGTAAAGATACAAACAAAGTTACACATCCTAATTCCTAATCCATAAAATGTACCTAATTCTTACCTTGGGCGTTATCAATCATCCTACTGAGTTTAACCCCCATCAGTAATAATCCTGGCCCGAGTGTCCCAAGGTAAGATAGAGAAATCATTGAGTCTTTGCTGTGTTTCCGTGTTTGTGAAACCTATTGTTCAGCTCCACCCCACTTCTCATTTGCTCGTTTTGAGTATAAAGCTTTAAAGCCAATTTCAAAAGTTGGTTATATTTTGTGCTCCTGATCTTATCGGCTAATTTAACTATTTGTATTCAAAGCGCTGTATAACACTGCCTCTAACTTGTGTGATGTAGTACTGTGCTCCTTCATTACAACTCCAATTCTAACTCCAGATTTATTAAACTGATCAGACAGAAAAAAGTGCTAATCGCGCATGTTAATTGTAGTGTGCAATAAACTTTGCTGGAAGCTTCCTGGCCTAATGTAGTAAAAGTAAAAGCATACATTAACAAGAATTTCGCCGCGGTAACACCACGCACGATCAAATTTCCCTATTGCCTACAATGTAATTGTTCTACTTCATTGTATCCCAGAGTGGTGTTTGGCGCACGTGATAATCAAAATAGGTTCCTTTTATACACATAATTATTGGGGAGTGGTCTATATTGCGAAGGAGCAGACTTTTGTCGTCACCGTAGGTCCATCGGGCCACCTCATATAATATCCAAACCCGATTACTTATTCCCTACGATCTTTTTGCCTTCGGCAAGAGTAGGGAAAAAATCCGAGTTTTAGGAAAACAACTGCGGTAAATCTAGGTCCATGGGAAACAATAAGTTTTTTAATGAAACTACTAAGTTTATTTTACATTCCTTTAGCTTTAAATCTGTGTGGGCCGCACAGGCACGTACGGTTGTTCAACAATCAACGGGCGACAACGACGGACGCAAGCCAAACTGACCAACATGCCCCTCTTAATACCCCTCTAAATGCCCCTCGTTGGGACTTGGGCCTAATGCCCCTCTTTCGAGGGATGCCCCTCCATGCCCCTCTAAATGCCCATCGTTGGGCCTAATGCTCCTATTTTGAGGGATGCCCCTCCATACCCCTCTAAATACCCCTCGTTGGGCCTAATGCTCCTCTTTTGGAGGGGCATCAGTATTTATCCCTCTGAAGCAAGTAAAACTGTTCAAATCAGCTAATTTCCCCAAAAATGTTCGCCGTTGGCACTGGGATTACTTTAAAATTCAACCGTTGGCACTATTATTTGAGTTTTCTAATTGCGATTGAGTTATTATTTTTTTAAATATAATAAATATCTAGTTCCCCTTACCTCACTACATAATAGGCAGGTTTTCGAAAATTGGGAAGAAAAAAAATGTTTGCCTGCGGCAAAATATCTGCAATATGTGTCTGTGCGAAAGTTTATGTTATCCACACAAACCTACTTTCAAAGGGACATATCATAATTTGTGATAATTACGACAAATGGTGCCAGCTGGCTGTGTTTTACTTGTGGGTTGTCGGAGAAAGCCAGTTTAAAATATTGATTTCTCAAATTTTCTATTACACTAGTTTGAAGGATATTTCAGATATTTTGTTATTGTAGATTTTAATGTGTCCAAGCAAACCCTGGGAAGCCGACATTGCAAGCGAAGCGAGCGGGCCACAAAAACAGAAAATTTGTATCTGGGAGAAAATTTTAAACTTTCTGGACTGCAGATCATGTCAGGGGGGAGTCAGTACCCATACGTTGGCTTTAATAGCTCACTACTCAGTAACTGAATGCCCGATTGAAATAATTCTTTCTGGTATGACTTACTACCACCACCGGTTCAAGGAGTTTGTCAAATCGAAAAATATTTGTCAAATATAGTTTGGATAGTCGGATCGAGCCAAATTTTATTGAATTGTGTTTGGCCATTCGAGTTACATATTTTTACGAGTTTATTCAATACGTGTGGTCAGGTGATTGGTTTACCTAATCACGTGATAAGGTGACCCCGTTAACTACCCCTTTAAACATTATGAGAATCGTTAAGGCTGCCCAATTAAGGTGTCTTATGGAATCGTATCATTGTATCACAGAGTTATGCCAAGTCGATAATAAAATTTCCCTTTATAAATAAATTAGTTTAAATTAATCGAAGGACTGATCTTTAGTCGTAGTAGGTTTCATTTATAATACTAATAATACACCGCAACTTAATCCCTACGATCTTTTGTTTGCAGTTAGGAAAAACCCGATTTAGGACACAATTACAAAAAATAGTTTTAATGAAGTACTAATTTTTAACTAGCTTAACCCGTGTGGCCCACAGCCTATCGGTTACTCAACAGTCACGGGGACACGACGACGCGCCTGTACCACGCCCTTTATATCTAAATGTCCGTTTGATTTTGGGCTATGACTTTGAGGATTAACCTAAAGCAATTTTGGAATGTCTATTTGGGGATCCCCTCTTCCTATAAATACCTCGTTGGCTAATGTTTTGGCATCTGTTTTATCTTAAAAGTAATGTTCAATAGTATTTTACCCCTAAAATGCTTGGCATGGTTACTTTCAATAATTAAACATGCACTTTATGACTTTCCGTATCGATTGATTATTATTTTTTTAATATAATAAATATTATCCCTTACTACAACTAATGCATAGAGTTTGAATGGAGAAAAAAAAAATTTTGCATGCCAATTCTGCTATGTGTCTTGCAAATTATTTACCAGGTAATCTCAGGCATCATGTTATTCCGTAGTGGTGTATTACTTTTTTCAAAACCAGTTAAAAAGATTTCTCCATTTTGCTTTAACTCGTTAGGATATCGATAATTGTTATTTATTTTAAGTTAGTAACCCTGAAGCCGGCCCGCCGCCACCGATGCAGATTTTAACCTGTATTGCTATATGCGCGGAGTCAGAGCACATACTCACTATCAGTAACGTCACGAGTTGAATAATTTTTTGGTGGATTATCCGTCAGAATGCGAATGAAAATACAATATTTGTTCGGCGGATTTTATAATTGTGTTTATTCATTACAATTTAAGTTATAAAGATGTTGCTCACGGTGGTCACATAATCAACAAGTCAATTTTGTTAACGAGATACACAAAATGCTTGATAACTTCGTCATTTCTATTCCGTTTTGCCTCATTTTTTCAGATCAGATGCAACATTTAATAATATACTATGTGATATAGTATAGTTGATAACCTATAGATACTATCCCACAGGGTAAAGGGTGTGCCGTCTGCAACTGGTCGTGGAGCCTTCTTTTTGGGTCAAGGCAACAAAAATGCCAAGGTTAGAAACAGTACCTACTTACTTGAGCGTATATCTCTAATTACGTTATAATAAGTATGTATATAAGCATATTATGACTGCAGACTGATATACCAAAGCATATAATGACTGATATACCAAAAGAAACACCAAAATTTGACTCGGAGGGTTAAATAATGGGGGGCAAAAATATGAACTGTTATAAATATGGTTCTTTGGCCCGAAAAGGACCAAATTAGACCCCCATAATATTACCGACTAAGGTAGATAAAAACATGGCAGTAGTGACTAAATTACATTATTCCACTTTCCCTGACACTGCTCACTTTTCAGGTGTTTCTCATTGAAATAAACGGCGTTTTCTCCTCAACAGATGAACAATCGGTAAATTTAATTAAAAAAATAAATAAATACTGTTTAAATATTACACAGTACACTGTACAGCATAGAAGTACGAAAAATAAAGTCGCGAAATTATCACTAAATATAATATTTGACGGTTTGCCAAAGACGGTAATGCACGGTAAACTGCGCATGTAGGCCGTAATTATATACTATAAAATGAACTCAGTCTCTGTCTTCCTTCTCAACTGTAGTTCATCAGAAAACCTTTTAAAATTTAGCTACCTGCGGCAGCCCTAGCCGCAAAGGTAAAAATCTCTCGCAAAAAAGCCAGGTTAAAAATTTCAGCTTAGGTCAAGGTGCTACTTTTTAAACTTATTTTTACCTATGCTTCAATATGTTTCATTATCAATTTAATCAAAATTATCGATTCAACTATGATACATTTTGTATTTCTTTCATCATTGCTGACTGAATACTGCTTAGTTTTAAAAATTCATAATTTTATAAGCTTTTTATTAATTTATTATATAAGTTGTAAGATTACCAACTTTAACTCCTGAATAAAAAGCTCCTATACTACGTTGTTTAATTACTACCCGTCACTAAAGACAATACTCAGGTAAAGACGGAAATGTTAAAGATCAGAGGTATCATTAGTTTCACATATGATAAGATGAAACAGAGATACACAATTAGAACGCGAGCAGATGTCACACCAGAGGTTTGGTTAGAAACTTAGAAAAGTCTATGAGATCAATCAAATATAACAAGAGATTAAATAAAATTGGCATTACAATACAGTTATATATACAGTGATGAAACCTTTTTAATGTAAATCAAAGTATCGAGCATTATTAGCGACTGCTTCAGAGGATAGTGCATCAGATTAACAAGATAAAGGGAATATCAGCTTCTCACATTATAAAGAATGAGAACGGAGAGGAGGTTGCTATCAAATATGGGTCTGACTTTGATCAAGAGGTAGGCAAATATTCGAGCTAAAAACTATTAATAGTATAATTAGTATTAGTATTATCTATTGTTAACAAGTCCACTCTGTATATTTATACAATATTTACTACAGACGCTAATTTCCCAAAATACACGTCTGTTGTCTCATAGAATCCAAAAAGAACAGGACATAGGTGTTCTTTGTCACCCCCCCCCCCCCCCCCCCCCCCCCCCCGATAATGACATAGGATCGGCAGTTGTACAAATAAATAATGGCGACTTTTCACAGCAATTTGGCTAGGAACCCTTTCCTCAATTACCTAACTTTTGTCACTGGGCTCTCGTGCTCTTTCAAGTCATATTGAAGGTTATCAAAGGTTAATAAAATTAGGGACAATGGCAATATTATCTCATTTTTATGAACAAGTTACTGCGAGACGTGTTAGTCAATCAAATCTTGTCTCAAATCAAACTTATTGAAATTAAATACCACAGGCACAGCCCATGCCAACTAGAATAATATTGAGTAATGAGCAAGAACAACAGTTGTAGAGTATTATTTTAACAACTTATTTCAGAACGTACCCGACTATCCAGATTATCTACCAGAAGAAGATGACGACTTTGACGGTTCTGGAAAGGTAAGAGAGAGATTTAGATAGCTGTCAAGCGTTTATGGGATTCCTTTTTAAAATGAATGTGGTGGAGAGAATAGAGAGTTACTGTGTGATTTGCTGTGCTGCTTACTGTCTTGTGTGCTGTGAATTGCGATCTGTTTCATGACATCTCATACCTTTATGGATTGATATTTGATATATAATTTATATTTATATATATATATAAGCGTGACAAAGTAAATGATGTTTTCGTCAAACTGAAAGTTTCATGGATGTGTGAACAACAAATATATAATATATTTATTTTTTTACATAATGTTAAAAAGAACAGAAAGCAAGTAAGAAGTTTTAACCAAACGTCAGTTTAATGGATCTTTGGAAAGTTTTATTGCTAGCTAATTTAATGAAGATAAATGTACAAAGAAGTGTGATTTACATGGATTTACACATACAACCAATAATAGTACAGCCACTAATAGTACTAATTACTATAGGGGTAAGGAAATAGGCCCTTTTAATCGTAGAGCCCAGCACATATATTATTATTATTGAACTTTACACAAATCTGAAGTAGCTAACAATAAACATCCTAAAGATCTGATAAGTCTACAAAGAAGATTGGTAAAAACATATTTTAGTGCCAATAACTTAAATATGTGTTTATACATATCTTTTAATACAAAAACATAAAACATGTACATAATAAAAAATAAATTTCTCCATAAAATACGGTTCGAGCCAATATGTCTCAGTTCTGTCAAGTCTTCTGTATTGTTTATTTTTATATTTCTTTTATCAAGGTCACTCAAAATAGTTTTAAAAATGTTACTTTGATGCCTGCCAATTCTATCCTTCATATTATTTACCGTGCTGCAGAGTCGCGATCCAAGAGATACAGCTTTCCTCCAGGGTTCTCTATTTTTAGAGGTTCCCCATTTTCATCGAGTTCATCTTTGCCTGCAATGTAAAAATGAATGAACTTTGTTTTGTCTTCGTTAACAAATAGGTTATATTGCTCCAGGATCTCTTTACATATGGGGAGAGTTTGCCTGAGAAAATTCTCATCCGCAAAGTCACCATCGTCTGCATATTCCCATTCTACAGGAAGAAGGGTTTCTGGATCAAAGGGCGGATAACTGACAAAAATGACCGATTTTCTGATGGTATCAAAAAATAATGTATAATGTAAAGATCTGTCGAGTGTTCTATTATAATAATAAAGGGGGGGGGCCAAAATTTATTATCCATACGGTGGGTATCATACAGTTATACCACCGTGTTTTATATTTGAGAGTTGTTACTTTGCAGATGGCATACTGATTACTGTATCATACTGTTCAACTTTCAAGGATTATTAAATGTTGCATCTGATCTGAAAAAATGAGGCAAAACAGATTAGAAATGACGAAGTTATCAAGCATTTTGTGTATCTCGTTAACAAAATTGACTGGGTCATTATGTGACACCGTAACACGACACATTGATTAAACGGGGTCACCTTATCACGTGATTAGGTAAGCCAATCACCTGATCACACATAATGAATAAACTCGTTATGCTTCGTATCTCGGTCATCTGAGAAGCTACAACTCTCATTTTTTCAGGAAAAACGTAATTCGAATGGCCAAACACAATTCAATTAAATTTGGCTCGATCCGATTATCCAAACTATCAAATTAATGCGAAAATGAACCTTCATTTGAAAAAATGAACATGAATATTTTTCGATTTGACAAATTCCTAGAACCAGTGGTGCAGTGGTAGTAAATCATACCAGAAAGAATAATTCAATTGGGCACTCAGTGACTGAGCTATTAGGGCAACTTTTGCCCCCCCCCCCCTGTATGTTAATTGTTAAAAGGTACTAGTTGCACTGTCTTCTTATCTGGTCAGGTCTACAGCAGGGTGTCATAATTATTGGCGCGTAGAAAATTTTGCGTAAAATTTAAGCTGTGAGATAGGATTCTAATAATCAGATATCTTGGACTTGGATGGAAATCTAGCGTCCGTCTATTGCCTAACCGGCGCACTTTTTGTCGAATTACAGCTATTCTGAGTGAAGGACTAAAAGTGGAATTGTAGAATGTAGACATATACCCTCAAAACAAAAAACAAACCAAGCCCTCACTTGGCCGAGAAATTTATCAGGTGGTCAGGTTGACCACCTGCTATTTGACGAGGAAGTAGCAAATTAAAAATACCCTTTTCTTAATTACCGTTATAACATATATATACTGACATCATACAGGACTACGTCGCCCAATTTGTGAATGATCCTGTCCAATTTAACGTTCGGTCGACGTGAACAAATATCTGAAGTCTTTTTTGTTTTCAGGGGGGGGGGGGGGGCAAAAAGGAGGCCCGACCTTTTCCTTGTTAGGACCAATTAGATTGGGGGGAGGGGGGGGGGCCGGGGTATATCACTCTTTTAGTCTTATTTCATATAGAAAGTTCTGCACTCCAGTCTCCACTGCATGTATTATTTAATGTTACAATGGACTCTCCCACATATGTTACAAACTCCACATTCTGTAACTCGCTTAAATATGTGAATAATAGTTTGATGTTATCGCCGAATCCATGGCCATTAAAAATCAGATTTTTATTATCGTCAAAACTGGTAAAAATCGGTCACATCGTACTTCTTTAAATGTATCTTATTCTTACATATATATAGCACGCGAAATTCTATTTTTAAGTTTCATAGCGCGCGTTCGTCGCGCGCGGTCGCTACTAATTAATAATTAGTTTGTGCGCGGCCCTTAACCCCAGCATTATTATGCATGTATCATATGCCAGCCGCCAGGCCCCTCGCTCATTCATTCAGTTTGAATATATAGATCAGATCTTGAAATTTAGCCTGGAAAATTTCAGAATTTGACCTAACTCAAAATTCCACTCCTAAACTTGAGGTCGAAATGCGATTCTACGTTGATTCCGAAAATAACTTTGTCGTAAGCCCACTACCGTCTACCAACCATGTCGTAGCTAGACTCATGTTTCTCTACCAACCATGTCGCAGCTAGACCCATGTTTCTCTACCAACCATGTTGCAGCTAGACTCATGTTTCTCTACCTACCATGTCGCAGCTAGACTCATGTTTCTCTACCAACCATGTCGCAGCTAGACCCATGTTTCTCTACCAACCATGTCGCAGCTAGACTCGTGTTTCTCTACCAACCATGTCGCAGCTAGACTCATGTTTCTCTACCAACCATGTCGCAGCTAGACTCATGTTTCTCTACCAGCCATGTCGCAGCTAGACTCTTGTTTCTCTACCAACCATGTCGCAGCTAGACTCGTGTTTCTCTACCAACCATGTCGCAGCTAGACCCATGTTTCTCTACCAACCATGTCGCAGCTAGACCCATGTTTCTCTACCAACCATGTCGCAGCTAGACCCATGTTTCTCTACCAACCATGTCGCAGCTAGACTCATGTTTCTCTGTTAGACCAATGAGCATGTTCAATAATGATACAAATTAGTAACCGTCATATTAAAATACCGTCATATTAAAATATCAAATTCTAAATTGTGTTCCGACCCACTATGTAAGATATTGTAATGTATAGCAAAAGCTTGACTAACATTAGAAGGAGTGAGGGGATATTTTGCATTTCGTAAGTGCTCTCCGATCGTATCATGTGCCATTCTGCAAGTCTCTCCGGTATAAATGCTACTACAGATCTTACATGTTATTTTACAATAATGCGAGTCCTAAATAATATTCCTATCCCCATATCCAAAAACCCGCATTCTCGCATTCTAAGAATGTAGGAAATTTTTAAAAGTAGGAAATTTTTGACAAAAAGTAGGAAATTCGAGAGCCAACTCTGAGAATTTTCGATAATATTTCAGTAGGAATTTAAGTGAAAGAGCAGACTGAAAGTTGCTGGACCGTTATTTAAATGTCCTCAGTCAGGGATCCACTGATCCAGTCTATCAAATTTCGTTTCACAGACCAAAGTTTGTTGCTATTAGCTACAAAATCTGTGCATCAAGTAACCACTAACCAGATGCTAATTATTGGGGCATTTTCGCGTACACGACATAAATAGTTGTCATTATTACTTTATTAACATTTTACTATCTACTCATCTAGTCTATGAAACGGGCTTGAAAGCAGAAAGTGATGGTAGTAGATGAGAAAACATTTTTGCCAAAATTATAAACTCTTGATACTTCATGCTGTCTCCTATTTCGTGCTTTAGTTAAGCCAAGTGTTTAGGGATTCTAGAATCCAGACAAATTATCCCAATAAAAATTGAAATCAGAAAATAGTATGCTAAAATCGTTCTCCATTGTCAGATTCGTTCCAGGAGGCCAAATCTAGTTTAAATTTCCAAAATTTTCGGGGGCTTCGCCCCCAAAAGTAACCTAGGATTATCTATTAAAAAGCATTCCGGGCCAGGCACGTAGACAGGGGGGGGGGGGGGGGCTAGGGGGCGGCAGCCACCCCGGAAAAAATCGAACCCCAGAAAAAAGATAAGCCCCCTAGTCCCCATGGTCGCCTGGTAACTGGGCTGTGTTTATGACTGCAGTCAGTCAAAGATTTGAACTGTGGATTAGTAAATATCTGTCATTAAATCCAAGCAAACATTCTAGAAGACTTCTATAAATAGTCAATAGTGTCCCCTAGACCGTAGGAAATGTAAAAATCTTAAGACAATGAGGCCTGAGTAAGTCGTAAATTCTGATTGGAGAATGCAGATTGCTGTTGTGAAGTTACCAAATTTACGTGAGTACTTGATTCTTTTCAGTCCCAGTTTATTGCTGTCCTACAAATTTCTTTAATGCCAAATGTCGTCTAAAACACCCTGTTTCGCAAAAATTTTCCGGGGGGCTGCGCCCCCCTAGCCCCCGCCAAGGGGCTCCGCCCCTGGACCCTGTTGGGGGCTGCGCCCCCAGACCCCTGCCACAGCTTGCTCGCTTCGCTCGCTGCGCAGCTGGATTAGACGTGTCGGGTCGCTTCGCTCGCCAACAGCCCCCCTCAAAGAAAAATCCTGGCTACGTCCCTGTTCCGGGCCCTAAAAAAGTAACATTGAGAATCTGGAATCCGCCATGAAAAATCTTTGAACCGCGTGAATGCAAAGACTTTTTATGCGAGCGAAGCGAGCGGGCCACAGAAAACGAAAAAATTGAGAATGTAGGAAATTAAAATTTTTTTGGATATGGGTTCCTATCCGGATATAACATCAAATAGAGTACTTTTTCAAAAGATTTTTTACTATCATATTCATTCATTGAGTATGTTTTTGTTTGGAGTGTATTAAAAGTCCAACCGCTTTGACATCGTCAATCTTTATTTTAATTTGGATTGTTGATAAAAGCTGGATTAAAATGCTGTATTTCATTTCATCAGTGAAAAATTTACTTTTTGTTTAACAAAGTAATAAGGACCATAATTAAGGACAATCATATAATTTGATGTTCCTAAAATTACAGACAGAGTTCAAGAGTTTACTGAAGACTAGGATGCAATTTGTGTGTAAAGAGCAGCTTTCTTTGTTCAGTTCAATACAACCTATAGCTATGTATAGGATACAGCTTGTGTGAATAATAGAAATTGTGTGTAGGATGCTACTTGTGCGAATAATATAAATTGTGCGTAGGATGCAACTTGGAAGGATTGTGTGTAGGATGCAACTTGGAAGGATTGTGTGTAGGATGCAACTTGAACGGATTGTGTGTAGGATGCAACTTGGAAGGATTGTGTGTAGGATACAACTTGGACGGATTGTGTGTAGAATACAACTTGGACAGATTGTGTGTAGGATACAACTTGTTGCACTGTATTTTGTAAATTTGGATACATTTTGACTCATTGATTGTTTCAGGATTCAGACAATGCATATTCAATACAGGTTTGTGTTTCTTTAAATAATCTATTATAATAGAAGGGGCTAGGTGGCCTAGTGGTTAGAGTGTAAGCAGTCATCACTTGCTTGAGATTCGTAGATTATTTGTAGTAATTTAGGTTACGAACAACAAAAACGAAAGTAATAATGATGGTAAAAAAGGGTAAGAAACAAAATGATTAACAATTCAATTACTTACAAAATACACTTCCTAATTACTCTGACTTATAACGCCCTACATCTAAGTTGTAAAACACACGTCCTTACTCTACCTTTACCTATCACGGTTAACCATCGTTAACCGTCTCTAACGAAGTCTTACCCTTAAACTACACTTACATAACACTTTCAGTCCTCGCTGACCGTCCTTATATCAGGCCCAAATCCACTATAGTTCATTCTCGCTCTACATGAGCCCGATTGTTGTTGACACGAACCCACTCGTGTTCGATTAACCCGTGTTAACCCTGGCTACAACACAGCCTATTCCTGCTCTCCTGAGTTAACCATTGTTGACTCTCTCTACGCTTAAGCCAGACTGCTCATGTCCTCCGCACAGTTCACTAACTACAGACCACGATAATGCTCTCTCTGGGACCCTGACGTAACAGGTCCTGGCTCCAAAGTAACCTATATCAATGGCCCTCGAATCGGGCAAACTCTATCTCTCTTTTTGACCTTTCCACCGGACCTTATATAATGTCCTGTCCGTGGTTTTTCACCCGACCTCTCTAACCAGACTCACGTGCCCCTGCTCACACCTTTGGCAGCTGGTCTTATCTCCCACTAAAGCTTCATTGTCCCGAGTCCAGGTGTTACGACTATTCATCTTTTTACCAAAGCTTCCTGTCTGATGACCTCTGAATCCATAGTTTGTTTAGAACTCACATCTATCTTTGACTCTCTATCTACACAAAGGCTTTACGTCTGAGTTCTCCTAGAACCATTGTCTCTCCTCCAGAGTGACATGTTTCTCGTCCGTCCAGGTGAGGTCCAACCCACAATCTCCATTGTATTCTCTTTCTCTAACTTTCCCTAACCACAGACCAGAACTGGATGTTCCACTTCCACTGCCTTATTACACAATACTGCCTTATTACACAATACTTGCCTTATTACACATTACTATCTAAAATCTATCAAATAATATAGATCAAATAATCACGGCTTACACAACTTTACAAAATATGATCTTTTTTAGAACTTTACTATAATAGTATAATATGTAGTATAATAATTTAATAGAACATCTCGTACTACAGACTATATTCCATATCAGCTTCTATTCGCTCAATATTCACGGCTAACACAACTTTACAAAATCTGAGCTTTTTTAGAACTTTACTATAATAGTGCATATAATAACTTTATAGAAAATCTCGTACTACAGACTATCGTTTCAATACTATCTTTAACTCACTTTTCAAAATTCTTACTCTACCAAACTCATTACTCTGTCCCAGAACCAAATAAAATTGTTCTTTTTTGAACACCATGACGGGCCATCTATTCACTGTTTATCTTCATATTATGTTCTATTGTCTATTTAAGTATAATGCTTGACTTACTTCACTCCGTCTTAATTATGTCTGACTCTATACAACATGGCGAAATCAGTTCTTCTGACGATCCCCCTGCTCCTCCTCCTCGTGTCACTTTGTACTTTATGTCGGGTACTTTTCCCACTCCACCTGTTGCCCCGACAGCTCCGACTCCGAATCCAAGTCTTCCTATCCAAAATGATATGGTGAGCAGCTCCTCTCCGGATGATTAGATTCGCTCCCTATCTTCATTTCCAGGTATGTATTGATCAGCTTTTCTCCACCGCCCCTGGGGGATGATAATCCCCCATAGTTATTCAATCCAGTCTAAGTTTACTTTATAAATTCATTACTTTTCCACATCTATGAAATCTTTTCGTTTTTAGGTTGGAAGAATAGCGTAAAACCATTTGGATTCAACTGCTCCTACTAGAATGTATTTACAACCTGGTAAGTCTCCAAGTCTCCGAGTCTCCTTCCAACATCGTTCCATTGTTTCTTTTACTGTGTATCTCTCTTGTTCCACTGGTGTTCCTCTTAATTATCAACCTCTCTGCGTCTCTCTCTTCTTCTCACACCATGTCTCCGTCTTCCGCTCGTTTCCAACATTTTGGACAGTTCCCTGTATTATCGTACTGTCCGTCCCTCCAGCTTTCCATATCTGTGTCTTCTTCTAATGTTTCACGTGTCTCCTTCTAATGTGTCACGTGTCTCTTTCCAATGTCTCCATGTATCTTCTTCCAATGTCTCCATGTTTCTTCTCCCAAAGTGCTCTCGATTCTCCTTCACAGGTCTCCGCGTGTCTCCTTTCATATGTCTCTTCCCAATGCCATGTGTCTTCGTCCAATGTCTCCATGTGTCTTCCTCCAATGTGCTCACGTGTCTCCTTCACAATTCTCCACGTGTCTCCTCCAAATGTTTCCATATGTCTCTTTCCAATGTCTCCATGTGTCTTCTTCCAATTTGCTCACGTGTCTCCTTCACAAGTCTCCACGTGTCTCCTTCACGTGTCTCTATGAGTCTTCCTCCAATATTTTAACGTGTCTTTTTCATCCATCTTCCAGCTTCCTTTCAGCTTTTCATCAATTGTCCCTACGTACTGAGCAATGTGCATCAGTTCTTTTGGACTATGTTTTCTTTTGGACTCTTCCCTGTTTGCTCTTTCACGTCTTTTTCTTGTCTCTTTCTGCAGGTCCCCATTATTTCTATTGTTGGAAACTCTCATTCTTCATGCCTGGGACTTTTATCCGTCTTCCTTTTTCATTCACTTTTTCTTTAAGTTTCGTTTCCCTTCTAGTTCCCGTTTTCTTCTTTTTCGACCATCCTCTCCAAGCTATCTATTCTTCGTTTCTGCTTCTCTATTTTTTCCGATCCATGCTTCCATGTGACCTCCAATCCATCTGTCATCCAATCTGTCTTCGATCCACACTTCCATGCAACCTCCAATCCATGTGTCCTCCAATCTGTCTCCAAGCCATGCTTACATACGACCTCCAATCCATGTGTCCTCCAATCTGTCTCCGATCCATGCTTACATACGACCTCCAATCCATGTGTCCTCCAATCTGTCTCCGATCCATGCTTCTATGTGACCTCCAATCCATGTGTCCTCCAATCTGTCTCCGATTCATCTTTCTATGTGACCTCGGGTCCATCTGTCATCCAATCTGTCTCCGATCCAATGTCTCCGATCCAATGTCTCCTCGTATCTCCTTCAAATGTTTATTCTTCGATATTTACCCTGGAATGATGTTTAATGCTCTGTTACCACTCACCATGTCCCAATATTATTTCCACTATTTACCACAAGTATTGCCACTGGAAACCCCCAAAATGGTTTTTGTTTTCCCCTTTCCTTTTCGATCACCAAGGTCCAACGCCCCTTTTAAATTCCTTGTATCGCCCAGCGAATTATTTTGGGCCCCGATGGTTATTTCAAATACCACCTCACCCGTCCCATCCCCCTGCCCCATAGCATTTCCACTATTTATCACCTTTCCATGCTCCAATAGTAATTCCCACATTTTCCTCTCCATGGCTCCAATGAAACCCCCACTATTTCCCCTCCCCCATGCTCCAATAGAAATTTCCCCATTTTTGTACCTCTCCCCGCTCCAATAGTAATTCCACTTTTCCCCCCTATCCCCTTGCTCCTTTTGAAAATTCCACTTTGTCACCCTCGCCATATCCTAGAAATTCCACATTGTACCTTCACGGGGGCCAAATTTTTAATTACTATGCCCCCCCCTTCACAGGGTCAATAGTAATTCCCTATTGTACATGTGTACCACCACCCCATAGAAATTTCCACTAGTCCCCACTGTCCCCCACCCCCAAATAGTAATTTTATTTGTCACCCTAGTACCCCACCCCCCAATGTAATTCCTAGTACCACTAGTCCCACCATCCAATAGAAAATTCCCTAGTCACCATGTACCACCCCCTCAATAGAAATTCATTTGTACCCTGTACCCCCACTCCAATAGTATTTCCCTAGTCACCATTTCCCCACCTCCCTGAAATTTTCAATGTCACCATATTTTCCACCACCCCCAATAGAAATTTTATAGTATTGCCCCCCAAAAAATTTTCCCCGGGGGATTCATATGAAAACAAAAAAAAAAAACAAGCAAAGACGAACAACCGTTTAACTTCGTTTAATAGAGGAAATTAAATACTTTATAAAACTTTCAAATTAAGAACTTTTAAACGATAGCCTTCTTTTTTGAAAAAAATTGATATGGCTCGCCCCCGGTGCTCTTTTAAAAAAAAAACCACGGCCAATTTAACACATATTTTAATTTTCCCTTTTTTTTTTTTTTTTAATCACCCCCTACAAACCATGTTTTTTTTGCCCTTATTTTCTTAAAACCCATTTTACATTTCTCACCCGTTTTTCTGGTTTTTTTTTTCATAAAACGTTCTCAACCCCTTTTCCCCTATTTAATTACAAAAATATTTTTATTTTTCTTTCTTTCAAAATTTTTTTTTACCCCAAAAAACCCCCAAAAAAAAAGTTTTTTCATACTGTTTTTTTCACATAGAAAAAAAAAATACCCTCCCCCCAAAAAAAAAACGGGCCCCAAAAAAAACCCCTTCCCCCAAAAAATCCCTTAAATTCCTTAAATCCCTCTCTTTTTTCCCCCCTCCTTTCAAAGCCCCCCCTTTTTAAAAAATTTTATTTCCCTCCCCTTCCCCTCCTTTTTTTAATCCCCCCCTTCCTTTTTTTTTAAAAAAAAAAATTTACGTCAAAAAAAAAAAATTTACAACCCTGAATTTTTTTTCCACGGCCCCCCAATTGGGTTTGGGGGTAAAGATGCAGGGCCGGGTTTTTCTTTTAAAAAAAAAAAATAAATCCTTCCCCCCCATTTAACTCCCCTCTTTTAAAAAAACTTCAAAAACCTTTTTTCCCGAAATTTCCCCCCCCTTAAACAGTTTCCCCCCTTTTTTTAATTTTTCCCCCCT